TAGGGAAATGGGAAGCAGCCTTCACCTAGCAGACAGCTGAGAGGTGAGACGTGGGTAGTTTTCCTTGCTTTAACAAATGACAGGGAACACATTCTCTATACCCTCATTACCTGCTCTTTAAATTTTGGATAATACATAGCTGTCAATCAAGGCAGCTTGGATCTGACAAAAAATTCCTGTACATTGCATGGCTGTAGTATTATTTCTGGGTCTTGGAAATGACTGTGCCAGCAGTAAAGGAAAACTGAAGTGAAGGAGTTCTTTTTCTAGCCCTGATCCTCCCTTATCACCCCAAACAGATGAATGCCACAAAATACTAGGTTTTGGACAGTCCTGAATGTCAAGTTACACACAGCTGAGGCAGTACGTACACTGAAATATATAGCACCATACTGAACAAAAAGGGAGTATTGAGATTTTTATAATTTATGCATTTATAATCCTTTTGGGTATGAGATCATCCAAAAAAAGCAGAGGCAAAATTTACTGTTCTTGTACCATCCTGAATACTCTGGCGTGGTTGGAGGCAGACATGATTAAAAAAAGAGTACAGATCAGTGGTTCTCAACCTTTTTAGATTCAAGGCACATCTTGATAGACTATAAGCACCCTTCAGAAAATGCCAGTTCTCTATTTTCACTTGATTTTTGGCTACAGAAGAACAGTAGATTTTTTGCTGCAAAGAACTCAGAAAGGCCACACAGGTCAGAATGTTTTTAACACTGAATTCCTATTTGAAATCTCTGGGTTATCTTGTGGTGATATTTGCACACCTAACAGCGTTAACACTGCATGGCACCCATTAAAAGATCTCAAGGCATCCCAGGATGCTGGAGCATGCTGACTGAGAAATCACTGGAATAAGGTTTTTGAACCTTGGTTCTTTGGGTACCCTGGTCTTTCCAAGTCTGAGTTAATTTTTGTCACATTTTCTTTACCTTTGGCCATTACCCCTTCTTCACCATCTTTCAATTCGTCTTCTTCAGATAGGTCATCACCACCCCCGTTTGTTTTCACTTCTTTCATTAGATCTTCAATGGCAAAAGGGGACTGATCCACAATGGTTTCAAAGATACCCCGAGCTACTGCTTGCATCATGTGACGACTGTTATAAAAGAGTATGGAAGTGACATGAAGATAACGCGCACAGCATTAGGCCCCTATTTTCCTTCCATTAAATATTAAAATAAGAACAAACCTTTGAAGATGAGGGAGGAGGAAGAAGCATTTGGGGGGGGGGAGGGTGAGGGGTGAGGAAAGAGTATACCATTGAGCAGGAATTTCTCAATTTCAAAGACATCCCCACCATTTAGCATTTCATCTAGCATTTAAAATTTCACTGGTGCTTGTTAATTTCTTTATACGATAAAAGCAATTAGAAAATCTGACCAGAATTAGGCCTCTGTTATGTTAGGTACCGCACAAACAGAGGTAGACACTGTTCCTATATTAAAATACACCTTGCATATGACTGAGAAAGAAAGGAGTTAACTCAGTTTCATATACCTGCCCGTGTGATTGCTTTCAGTACCCTTCCTCCTCAGTGAGCTTAAGTCCTTAGGGTTTTTTTCAGTCTACGTGTTTATCACTACTTGAAATGCCTTCCTACTTCTTAAAGTCAAACAAAAGAGATAGAAAAAAAAAACTGAATAACCAGCTTTTGAACTTACTCCTTTGATTTGGCAGCAATTTTGCAGAAAGGTTCAATAAATTTGAGATTCTGATCTGCTGTAAGCTGAAAAATCAGAAAGCAAAAAGAGTTGGTATACAGTAGCTATTTAATATACCTATTCTAATTCACTGTACTCAGTCACAAGGAAGATCTCTCTAAGGAGATATGCCTGAGCTTCTAGTACGTTTCCCACTAAAATAGACATACACAACTAGCAACATTTTTACTACCAGTGCCCTCCAGATTGCAGATGAAACAGCTATAGAAACCCAGAATGCTTTGCAAGCACTGATATATTACACTTCATAATATTTGAATGCTCATTTCACAGGTGGACAGGCGAGGTGGAGAAAACTGATGCAACTTGGCACAAGAACATCTCATTTCGTATGGCATCGGATATCAACTTCCAAATCTATAAGCCACCGTCTGGTATTATCGCTTAATGTGCGGATTCTATCTACCTCATCTGGGCTTTGGAAAGATTGCAGTTTTTGATTAAGTGCTGTTTGTTGGACACCACATTCACACAGGGGGCTGTCGAAGATGTTAATCTTGTGAAGTGCTGTTTAGAAGCACAAGAGTATGAAGGGAGCCTGCAGTGGAGCAGCAGCTAAGACCTGGATGTCTTCTGAACCTGACTAACTTACAGACCTATCAATACAATAGCACTGGCCAGGAAGACTGGACCTCTATGCTAGGCTCCGTTTAGAAGAATAGCTGGAGATTTTTCAATGTGGTACAAGCGATGTATGTACATCTTTCATTAACCGAAATCCAAGCCCTCTCAACTGCTCTGAAGATCTCAATCCTTGGCCTTGAGAGTCCTATGTAATTTGGGGAGAGCAGGAACTGTTGCAAAATAAAGGCTGTGATTGTAGATACTTCCTCTATATTAGAAGCTTTCCTTCTGATGCAGTTAATCAACATACATGCCTGTAACCACAGACATGCCTACTTGGTGGAGACAACTTCTGGTTTGGAAGTAGATTTCCAAAGCTCTGCAACATAATGGTATGAAGGGGCAAGTCACCTGTGGATTCCAGCTTGAGTTTTTTTGTAAAAAGCAGAGACTGATTAATATTAACACACGTGGAAAAAAAAGGTTGGGTTTTTCTTTTCCTACTATATTTCTAAATAAGGAGCAACAAGAATCAATGCACATCCCCTCCCTGTATTTCAAGCCTACAGCTGGAGGACCAGGACATGAGAATCAGCTAATCTATGCTCTTTATCCAAGTCAACAGAAAAGCAAAGAGAAACAGTGAGAACTACAGAGGAATTTAGCAGCTTCTTCAACATGAATATGGCTCCTTAAAAGAGTTCAACATAAAGGAAATACAGTTAAAAAGAATTTAATTTGTTCTAGGGGAGACTTGCACAGCACAGCTACATCAATCATGAGAGTTTTCTACCTCTTTGGCTCCAACTTTAGACAGTTCATCCAGATAGATGTCAATAAAATGGAATCTTATTCCACTGGGTGCATTACTCTCTGGGTGCATAATTTCTTTCATTAGTAGCTCCAGAAACGGTTCAGTTAGACTGGAAAGAAACAAATACGATACATACATTTAATTGCGAGTCCATTTGCCGTGAGCAGAGTGTCAGATAACAATATTTCACAAGTTGGTTTCTTGCACATGGGAAATAAAGGCATCACACAGAGAAATCCAGCTGCAAATTTTACTCTAGGTGTTGTCAGACTTATTCTATCCAGAATAGCATTTGCTGAAACATGCTGTGACTTGCTCTCCTGCCACCTAGTGGGAAGGCACTGTATCAGCACCTACCAAGAAGAGCTATTTGTCTCCAAGTCCCAGTGTAATTTACACCAATGTACAAAATCATGATGCAAGTTACCCCAGCATAAACATGTTAGCTCTCCAGAAACTGGGTAACTCAAGAGGGTATGCTCTGGTCACTGACTCTAAGTAACACACAGTTTCTCAAATTCCAGTGCTACCTTAAACACTGTTTTGAATGCTCCTTGTTCTGTCTCCATTCTGCAGGGGCACCCTTTTCAGATCCTGCCAGAGCCCAACATTTCTGTTCCGTGAGAGAATATAAGTGCCCTAAAGTTTGCCCTGCAGATTCTGATCTTCCTTCAACAGCACTGCCAAAGACACTACCTTTACACAGAGGGGGGACCTGAAATGGCCTGAGAAACACTTCAGGGAAGGCAGTAACCAAGAGAGATAGGACAGAGCATGATCAGGGAATAGCACACCACTGAGTGATTTTGTCAAGGGAAGACTGTACAGGGCTGCCCCTTCCATCTAGACAGTTGTATAATGTCTTAGTGCACAGCTAGGGGCCAAAGATGAATGGGCTACCAGGACAGTCAGAGAAAAAGAAGTGTTGCAGCTGCATCAGGATTAGAGGGACTGGAAAGGGGTGGGTTCTGCTCCTTACAAACCTTTGGTCCCTGGATCTAGCCAGCTACTGAGACACCCACACAGTGCTAGTCAGTGCCCCTTACTCAAGAAATCCTTCAAACCCTTCTGAAACCCCAGCTTAATTATCTAAATCTTGAGAACCCGATTTTTAAAGTTTCTCTACAATCTTTTAGTAAGGGATGATCTTCAAAGGGACCTTTGCTCTCTAGAAACTCAGAAACACTGACGCAGCTCAATTCCCCAAACTGGGTCAAGCTGGGCACCTCTTGTGCCATACTCTGGAAGAAGGAGGGTCTAAAAAAAGGGAAGCAGACCTATCTGTGCCCTCTCTCTGTGATAGATCTTTTCATTGCTGCTCTACCTAGCCAAGGGAACAGGCTCCTCAATTTGCCTTCTCACTGCCACTTGGAGAGAATCAATAAGGCCTCCCCTTCCCCAAGATGTGCAGCAGCAGAAAGAGGGCTCCACATGACCCTCTTTCTGCTGCTGCTTAGAAGAAAATAAAAATGAGACCAGCACAGGCCTAAGGAGTAAGAGGAATATATAGGAAGGGGACTTCTGTTTTGCCAATCTCTTCTCCTCTATGGTTTTCCCATTTCTGTCTCTCTCCTTCCAAGGGACTGCACTAACTCTCTATGATAAACCCTGTAGCCGCCCCTCCAGCATCTCAACCTGTGGGTCCAATGCCAAAGCCCAGCAATTCATAGGGAGGAGGGTTAAACAAAGACAATGGGGATGTTTTGGACAAACAGATAGAGGGGAGATGAGGACAGAATGCAGAGGCAATCAGCAGACCAATATGCAGCTATTGCATTATGTGGCTGGGGTAATCATGGCTGTGGAAGCAATGGATACAATAGAGATGGAAAACTGGACTGCAGCACATGAGAACAGGAACACCACACACACAAAGAAATGTCAGGAAACTGTGTTAACATAAGGTTAAGTTCACCTTATGCCCTTCCAAAATACCAAGCATGCCTGCCTCTTATTCTCTAAAAACCAAGAAATACACAGCTGATGTCAAGACACCCCTGCAAATAAAAAACCTAGAAGCAGCATTACTACACAAAATGATTCTTTCAAGTGGGCCCTACATTAAAAATAGAGAACTACTGTAAAATAGAGAATAGGTTGTGCTTCTGCTTATGTCCTCTTCCACAGATCTGAATCCCAGGATTTACCTGTACATGCTCCAGCTGTGGAAGGGTTGGGGGATGACTGAGCAGGCTGCTAGAGCCACCCACAATTATGAGAGGAGAGGTTCATGGCTACCTGGAAGGATTAATTCTTTCTCACTGGAGCACTGAGTTCGGTAGAAGGTGCCTGCAGATGTGCACAATGGGGCTGACCTGCAGTCTGGTGACTGGCATGACAGCAGCATCCAGAGGTTAGCAAAAGATAAAGTAGCAACATCAAGGAAGGAATTGGCAAGGCAAGAGAAGAGGGGGTGTAACATTTAGCAACTTTGAAGCAGTTGGCATAAAAACAGGCTCAGTTTCATCATGCACAACACCCACTTGCCATGCTTAGCAAAAAAGTATAAGACCACCCAACAGAATTCACCTACCAGGAGGCACCTCTCACACCTGTTTGTCTCACACCCCCTTTCCCTCCCAGTTATGGCCCTGTTGGAGTATTGCTCAAGGAAGGCAGAATTCAGGTAGCACTATTTGAAACTAAACTTGAATTTGTTTTCTGGCAAAACACAGCTGTACTCAACACTGTGAAAAGGTATGAAATGCACTAGACAACCTCAACTCTCAATAAAAGTTTTTATGGGTTTAATTAGAAGCAAAATGCTCTGAAGTTAGCGTTAAAGCAGGCCTATTTTGCAGGCTGGACACGAGAGCTCTAGACCAGGGGTGTCCAACCTTTTTGAATGTGGGGCCGGATCACGAACTTTTTATCACCCAGTGGGCTGGCAGGAGCGGGCACTCGCACGGCCTGTCCAGTTCGGCCGCAGCCTGGGGGCGCAGGGGTCAAGGGGTGCCACCTGACCCCAAGTCCTCCCTGCCATCTGGGTGGCCTTGAGGATGCTCCCACACCTGCGCACCTGGGCTCAGCAGCTAGGGGGACATGTGGGGATTCTACAGGGGGGTGTGGGATGTGCAGGGACACCCCCTGCTCCCTCTCCCCCAGGGCAGCCAGAGCCTGAGCCCAAGCAGCAGGGGTCCCTCCCTCCCCAAGGCCCACGACTCACCACCCCCAGCGCGATGTCTGCGAGCACAGAGGGATGTGGGGAGGCAGGAGCGGCACCGGCTTCCTGCCCTGACAGCCACAGCAGCAGCGGCAGCAGCATCTCCCGCAGGCCCGGCCGCAGCATCCCTCCGAGCTGGCATCCGCGCCCCCTGCACTGCGACCTGCTTCAGCCCATGTGGCCGGTGGGGGCTGGCGCAGGGCGGGGCCAGCATGCAAATGAGGAAAGGGTGGGGCTAGGAACAGAAACCATGCAATGTGGGAGAGGGGAGGAGCTAGCATGCAAATGAGGAAGGGAGGGGTGGGGATAGGAAGGGACACCATGAAATGAGGGGGGAGGGGAGGATCCACACCGCATCAGCAACATCAAGCTGACGCGGTGCATGTGGGAACCTTGTCCCTTCCCCAGCCCTTCAGCAGCCATTAGGAAGCTGCTGAGGGGCTGGGGGAGGGACAAGGGGTGGGAACAAAAGTAAACAGTGTTTACTTTCGTTTCCCATTGCAGCACCATGGGTCACAGAAAATGGCTTGGAGGGCCACATGGCAGCCCGTGGGCCGCATGTTGGACAAGCCTGCCCTAGACTGAATAAGGAAACTGGACTTAAGAGTTGCCATTTACAAAGGTGTTCAAACAAAACACTTGGTTATGTGTCCAAGGAATAAAGAAGTAATTTTATAGTGACGGACTGAACTACAAGCTGCTCTTTCCAAAAGACAGTCATTACAGACAAGGCTCATTATCAGGTCATCTGCTGGGAGGGAAACAGGAGTGCACAAGCAGTCTGGCAAATTCTTGGAGTATGTTTGGCATAACTTTTTAGTACAGATGGAAGAGGCCAACCTAGCAGGGAAGCTCTTCTTGACTTGATACCCATAAACAGGGAGGAATTACTTGAGAATGTGGAGGTGGAACGTTAGCTTGGGTGACAGCAACCAAGAAATGAGAGAGTTCAAGATCCAAAGGGGAAGAAGGATGAAGAGAAGAATAAAGACACTGAACTTAAGAAAAGCAGACTTCAGCAAATTCAGGGAAAAATCAGAGGGCCAGGTACCCTGCGAAGTAGGTCTGAGGCAGGGGCAGGCAATTATTTTGGGCCAAGGGCTGCTTAATAAGTTTTGACAAGCTGTTGAGGGCCACATGGGTAGCCCCGCTTCTTGACAGATGCCCCGCTCCCTGGTCACCAACTTGGGACTGGAAGTCCCACCCCCAACCCCCGACTTTTGCCACCAGAAGTCCCTCCCCTTACCCCTGGAAATACTCCTTTCAGCAAGGGGTTTTGCCATCTCAGAACCAGAAAAATACCAAATTATATTCTAAAAATCCCACAGCTACACCATTCATTCTATTTCAAAAAATATTTTTGTCCCAATTTACATATGTTTGTGTAGTGTACACAGAGGTGATTGCACAATAGCTTAAAATGAAGTCTTACTCTTGTACATTGTGGAGGGGGGTGAGTATAGGTTTGTGGGGGGCTGTGGGTGTTTGGGTATGTGGGTGGGGGTTTTGTGAGGGGTGTGGATAGGTGTGTGGGGGTGAGGGAACATGTAGGTGTGTGTGCATATGTGGGGTGTGGGTGGGTATGGGGTTTGTGGGGGGTCTATGTTGAGGGGAGGGGTGTGGGTGTCTGCATGTATGGCAGGGCAAGGAGTGGGTGCATGTGTATGGTGGGGTGGGCATGTGGGACTTGCCCTATGAACACACACACACACCTCCTGCTCCTGGCCTGGGGTACTGCCATGGGCCTTGTGCTTTGGCGATGCAGTCAGGGGCCATGTGGTGCTGGAGCAGGCATGCAGAAAAGCAGTGAAAGCAGCCATAGGCAGAGGCTTCCAGTTTGGGGGCAGGGTAGGAGGGGGCTGGGGGTGGAGTAGGGATGGGCTGGTCTTGCTCCTGGGTTCTGCTGACTTCCCCTGGGTCCTACTGCCCCATGCTCCTGTCATCTTTGACAGGTAGCCAGGAGCAGATAAAGATTAATTTTCTAAACTTTTTAGGAGCCCTGTGGGCCGCATCTGGCCCACAGGCCCTTTTTTTTGCCTGCCCCTGCTCTGAGGGGAAAAGGAGTCCAGGAAAGGATGAAAAAAGCTAAAGCTATTTAGCCTGAAGAAGAGAAGACTGAGGAGGGATTTGACAGCAGTCTTCAAATACCTGAAGGGCAATTATAGTGATGATGGAGATGGGTTTTTCTCTGTGGCCATAGGGAACAGGACTAGGAACAATGGACTCAAGTAGCAGCAGAGGAAATTTAAGTTGGAATATGAGGAACTTTCTGACTATGGGGGTAGAACAGGTTACCTAGAAAAGCTGTGGAATCTCCATGCTTGGAAACTTTCCAAAGCGGGTTAGACAGACACTAGGCTGGGATGGTTTAATCACGGATGATCCTGCCTTAAGCAGGAGGCTGGACTATATGACCTTGCAAGGTCCTTTCCAGCCCTACTCTCCTATGATCATGATAAAAGTTTAGGGGTAAATGTATACACACTGTAGCAATTGCTCCTCCCAGAGGTGGTTGTGATGCACCCAGGTGGCTACTCAGCCATTGCCAACCTGGCTCCTTTTGGGGCCCTCTCCCTTTTTACTTGCCCACCACACCTTGATGTTATTAACTTCTGATGAAAGGGAGGCTACCCGAGGACTTCCCAACCCCGGTCTTACTCTTATGACCAAGGTGCTTGTGGTCATTACCTTAAGGGCTAATTTCATGGGCTCCATCCTACCAATAGCAAATCATCTGCAAGGCATGGGAGTAGGTAACTCATGTCCTTCCTGGGCTACTGGCTCCTTGGCTTCCAAATGTAACCTCTGGTCTTTGGCCTATCTATTCCAAGACCCTAACCCCGCACCTAGGCCATGTGAGATCTCTGGGTTCCACAGCCAGTCTCCAGCTGTGGCCCTCTACTCAGCCTTTGGCCCATCTCTAAGGCCTGGCCCTGCTCCTGGGCCAGTGAGATCTTTGGTCTCCCTTACTCCTCCTGGGTTCCAGACCTCTGGGCTCTCTAGCCCTGCTGACACTCTGCCCTCTCTCTGGGCTCGAGTCCTTCAGCCCCACACTCTGCTCTCTGACAAGCCCCCAGGCACTGGAGCTCCCCTCAAAGCACTCTAGTTCCCCATGGTCCCCACCAGGCACCAGACCTTCTCCCAAGTTAGTCCTTCCTGGGCTCAAGCTCTGCATGTGCATCTCTCTCTGTCCCTGGGACCCCAGACTTATTTCTTCCAAGGTCTGCTCTGTTCGTACACTGTGCCCCTCTATGGGCTTAGGCTCTCTCCCTCTGGGCCCCAGGCCCTCTATTCTTCTGGACCCTATGTCTCTCGCTGGGTCAGCTAGAACTGCCATGCCTTCCCTGCAGTCCCTTCCATAATCACCAGGTGATGCTCATCACCAGCCCTCTGGAGCCATTGCCTCTGCCCCCAGGGCTATCTGTTCCAAGGCCTGCCTTGCTCCTCTTGGATGCTGCTCTATTTGCTAGCTGGGCTTCTGGCACCCTGACCCTCTGCTCTCTGCTGCCCCTCTCCAGGCTCTGGCTCACCCACTCCTGTTCCCAGGCATATCTGTTCCAAGGCCTGCCTGTTCCCAGGCTCAATGCTCCTTACCCCAGCTCAGTGGTTATCTCAGGAGCCCTGATGCCGAGAGCTCCTCTCCCAGTGACAATCTCCCAGGGGTAGATTGCCTGACTGACACAGGCCCTGGGCTTATCTGGCTCAAGCCTGGGCCTCTTCTGGTCAGGTGATGCTCTAATTACCCGCTGCCTAAGTTCTAGAAGTGACAGGTGCTCCAAGCATCCTGTAACACACATACACTGACCTAGTCTTTCCCCCAATGTCTCACACATTTATACTAATCCCTTAGGCAAACTTGCATCTTAACAGTTTCCACTTATTAAATCTTAGACTTGATAACTAGCTAGAGGGCAGAAAGAAGGCGCCAGTCAATAAGTTTTAAATAGAACAAAGATTTTCTGAAAGAGCCATCCAAAGAAGAGGAGATCATACCAAAATCATGTTACTTTAGATATGTAAATAATTTCTTTTTTTTCTTCATTACTTTAGATATGTAAACAATTACATCTAGAAATGTACTTACCTCTCGTCCCATCCATTTCTTTTCAGTACCTCAAAGGATTGCTTCAAAATTCTACGGATTAGCTACAAAGCATAAGAATTGTTGTAGAACATTTCAGTTCTCTAAGTAAACAAGACTCAATAAAATAGCTACTGGGACAGTCACATGGACAGTCTCTTTGTTAAGCTTCTTCATGAGACAGCAGGGTTTTCTGCAAAGATGCCTTTTTTGTATACATAAGAGGTATGTCCACTACGTGGTGTGATCTCTAGCTCAAACAGCGTCACTGTTTACCAACATTACATGTCAAGCAAAATAAGATACAGCAAATACCCTCTCATGTCTCTCCCTGCAAATTCCTCAGCTTCTTCCCTCAAAAAAATCCCAGTTCACTACATTCAAACAAACTTAAGATACTAGTAAATGATGGATCACAGTAACACTAGTTTGCCCAAGTTTTACATACATTTAATTGAGAGACAGGAATGTTACTTATTTGGGGAGAATTAATTTCTCTAGCTTATCAATGTATAAAGGTCAGGTTTTGCACTTAAACTTCCTCTTTGAAAAGAGGATGCTAATGTGATTTCATTGTGCATTTCCATTAATACTTGACATTATGAAGGCATGTTCTAAACACAAAGAGCTTGTTTACCCAGAGCTATAATTAGTTTTAATATAGGATTTCCTGTAGTTGGAATTCTAATATGTCGAGGTAAAATTAACTACTGCATGTAATACATTGTTCTTGTTTTTAAATCGAACCAGCTACGTAACATGGCCAACAGAAAGATCTCAAAGTAGTATGCTTTAATAATAGTGTAGTGCCCACTGGCGTGGCAGCAGCATGCTATTGCAAGACTCAACTTTATGCCCTGTTGAAGTCAGAGGAAAATCCACACGGCATCAGGCTAAGTAAAGGCACAAGCACTTGCAAGCCAAGACCTTATATAAACACAGCATGAAGACCTCTAAACCTGCCAGGGCAGAGAATAAGGGCCTCAACGTAAATGTCCCTTCATTGTATCCTAAAATGATAAGTGCTTTTTGCTACATTTGTTAGCATTTAGGCGGAAAACAACTCTTCAGTGCAATGCTACCTCAGTCCTGCCAATGAAAACTGGGCCTACAAGAAATGCAAATGCAAAAATTTATCATCACCATGTAGTATTTATCAAGGCGTAGCCTGTCTATCCCATTCCATTCACGGTTCATGGTTTGCCAAAATGTCTGAATGAACAGGTGTCCTGTAACAGAAGGAGAACAGCAATTTGTGTGGTCAATGCCAAAATATTCTAGGTTACTGAAAGAAGCTTACGGAGACTGCTTTTCAAATTCCATGAAAAAAGCCACACTCCTCTACATATGGGTCCAGTGGTTAAGGCACTAACTTGGGAAGACACACTCAAGATCACTGGAAGAGTAGCTACATTTCAGAGTGAGAGGTGCTCAAACATTTGTGCCACAGGGAACATGTAAGTATCTTACACGGATGTGGGACAAGTAGTTAGAATGACTGATTTCCACAAAACGCCAATCTGTGCAAGCCAGAGCAGAGAGTAATTTTGCACTCACTTATACTTTTGGTCCTGATTCAGCAATGTGTTTCGGCAGTCTTAATACTGGGATTTAAAAAAAAAAAAAAAAAAAGTCCACCTCCTTTGTGAGTTTTAATTTGCTTCCTTTTCAATTGCTTTGAAGAAGACCACCTTCACTGCCCAATTAAAAAAAAACCAACCCAAAAAAACCTAAACACCCAGCAGATCAATGGACAAGGAAAATTTGTTTTGCTACCCATCTCTTTTTTTCTTACCATCTTCCATAATCAGATTGGTAAAGAGCATGCTTGTTGGCACACCACAAACAAAGTACCCCTAGACTGGACTCCAGGGCTAAGTACAGACAGTCAAGAAGCCCAGGGTTGAATCAATTCAATCTTCACAGGCTGGTCTAAGCTGTGTAGATTGAACTGATAAGTAAGTGAACGGACATTCACTTTTGATTCTGGAAATGCAGCTGCATGCCTGCAGAGGCTCAGGCAAGAAGTGAGGAGGTGCTACAGCATCTCTCTGTGCTCAGCTGGAGCAGACAGCTTGGGCCAAGGCTAGCGTGCCCACCCTACAAGGGAAGGGATGAGGGGAGGTCCAAAGCATCCTGGGATGCCAGGAGACTGAGAGTTAACTTGCATCTGGAGGGGATCTGGGACAGAAGTTCAGTAAACCAATTTAACCTAAATCAGTTAAATCTGATACTATGTCCATTCACGTTCATCTTAAAATGGTTTTGGCCATTTTGAAAGAGGTTTACACGCACTGAACTTCTGCTGTGTTACAGATCTGAACTGGTTTCCAATCACTTATACTGGTTTACATGCAACTTCTGTCCCTAACCCAGGTGCAGATTAGATAAGCGTGAAAAACACTTACTTCACATAATGAAATCACAGAGAGATCTTAGACAACAGTGGAAGAAAAAACTTGGCTGTCTTTCCTGGACTCTGTGACAAATAATTAAAACCCACCAAATAAAATAGTAGAAGAGATATAATAAAATAGTAAACTTACGAGCCTCCACATTCTGAATGACATGGATTAGCTGAGAAATATTATCTGCTAATTCCTCCTTAAAAATAAATACGGCAGAGTTAGCACATTGTGTTTCAGGCTTAACACCCTCCACCCCCTTACGTTCAGGGAAACAACATTAATTAATTTATCTATTAGCATCATGATAAAGGTATGTAGGAAGAAATGGATAACAAAATTTTGTGTTCCCCTATTGAGAATCTTATGTAGGCATGAATATGACAACATTTCCCCAAAGCTGGAAAATATTCTTTTAATTGCCATTGTAGTGTAATTGCCATCTGGTCTTTTGGACGAAATGCAAAAGAAGCCTCAAGGATGCTAAGGACCTATTCAGCTCAACAGGTCTATAAAAAGGAGCGACTTCCAGAAGCAGATACAACTGGACTATGAGGCAGGATGCATGCACACACATCTGAGTTTACAACATCAGTGCAAAACCTAACAAGCATTGGTTATTAACAGCCCTCTATTCTTTACAATGGATATTGACTGCGCAAGCAGTATGAAACACATGAAAGGACCAAGGTTACTATGATATGGAGCAATTTAAGCTCAAGAACCAATGTCATCTTTTATGTTTGCATCATGCTGAACACGATGAAAATACTCTTGTCAAAAAGGATGAAAAAATAAATATATAAATAAAACCAGAAGACATGTTAAGAGAAGAAAGCTGGTACTGGATGAGGAGTCAGAGTTATTTAGCCTGACAGAAGAGGTGGGAACCCTGGCCCCCCAAGCTTTTAAGCTGGTTTAATTCAGAAACCAGAATGTGCTTCAATTAAAGGGTTCCTGCTTCATTAACTGAGCTAATGAACAGTGGCAAGTTATATTAAAGCAAATATATTTCCATAAAGTATGTATCTAAAACAGAATTACATGAAGACTGACATAAAACTTCAAGCCCAATAATACTCCTATTGAAGTAAGGGTATTACTGTCATGTTTTAGCCAAGGATGCTCAGTTGCAATTAATTTTCCCACTTGCTCATGCTTACCACATTTCCTTCATAAGCACATGTCCTTATAATGTTATTTTTCCCTGAACAAAATGAAAAGGCATTGTGCCCTCATCACACATTCTCGAAGGATGTCTATTTATATACACAAAGCTGATTTCCATACCTGTAGCAGAGGTTTATCCTGCATCCACATACAGTAGAATAGCCCTTTCCATATTTTTAAGAGTTCTTCTTGGCTGAAGCCACCTAAAGTGTAAAAACCAAAAATTATGCACAAAAACCCTTACATTTCCACCAAATGCTTAAAAACAGATTTCTCATTTTTCATTCCTCCCTCTTTCAGTATTGTCCTTTCCTTTGGAGCAAACATTCCAATTTTGAATGAAGTCAAAGTTAGCACCGCTACTCTGTTTATGAAAACTTTGGTTAATGCAGTGGTCTCATACCTTTAAGCTTCTGACTTGTTACTGTACCATATACTTTATGATACAAGGCTCATAGAGTATCAGAGGAAGTCACACACAAGAAAAGCCTGTTTGGTCATTCTGATTCATCCCCCTGCCAATAGGGTACAATTCCCTATGGCATTTCTTTCTAGTACCCATTCCAAAAAATAATTTGAATGACAGCATATCTAATTCTGTGGGGAAAGCCCAGTTGCAAACCTGGGGAAAAAAGGTGGGTGAGCAATGCTTTTAACAGAAGTTTCACTTCACCACTGGTCAAGAAATACCTTCAGTAAGATAAAGATAACGTGAGTCCCTGTTTATAATCAGTGCAGATGCTTCTTGTGTTGTCAAGCCACATAATTAAGTATAACAAATGCATTGTAATTACAATTAAATTTAAGGTACAGTATTAATACTATTTGAATTGTTCAAAATTATTTCAGTTGTAATAAGAATTCAAGGGTTTCCAAATTATAACGTGTCACTTTTCTTCAAGTCCTAGTACAGTAAAAGCTCTGTTATCCGGCATCCCCTGCGAATGGGGATATTAACAAAAATATGCACAAAAAGTGGCCCCGGCTGCCGCTTGTCCCACCACGTCTGGGGCGTCCCTCTGCCCCTCCTGCAGCATCGCTGCCCCTCCGGCGGGCCATGCGGGACAGGGAGGTGGGCTCCGCACAGGCCTGCACAGCCTGTTATGCCCCCAGGCTGTGGGGGCTGGGCAGAGCAAGCTGCTTTGCCCCAAGCCATGGGGCCTCGGAGAAACTGGAAGTGCCCACCGTGGGCACTTCCGGTTTCACTTTATCTTACAAGCTGCCAAGCCGGTTAGTGGAGCATGCCAGCTTGTAAGATCCCGGATAACAGAACTTCTACTGTATTAGTAAACCCACTTTGAAAACTTACATATTTTAGGATTTGTTAAAAGTGACAATAAAAACTGTGATCGGACCTATTGTAGAAGGGTGAAAGAGGTTTAAAACATCCTTATGATGCTAAAACATGTGACGCTAGCATGTGATGCTAACATATAATACATGTAATAACCTTGGTATTACAAACTAATAGTCTGCATCAGTCTGTACACCAAGTAAAACATCAAAATATGTTTTGCTTGCTCACCCAGTACTATTTTTAATGTAGAAAAGAAAGAAGAGAACATTCAAACTGGTATATCTATGCTTCCCAAACTTTTGATACCTGAGGAACACTTTCCTTCTGGATTAAAACTGATGGTGCACTCCACTCTTACATCCAAAAAGGTGTATGTATATGTACTAGTATATGAAAGACATACATAATGATGCCTGATATTTTGGTCCTGTGGGCCGAATCAGCAGTGTTAGGTCAGCCGGTGGGCTCGATCCTGTTGCATAGGGCTGGTGCAGCTGGGACCTATGCATGCCATGTGGTGCTTAGAAATTTGGCAGCGGAAGAGTAATGACAATGTTAATTGCCACCGCTCCCCCGCAACCAAATTTCTGGATGCATTGAAAGCCCTGAAGGCTGTATGACATTGTCCTGTGGGCCAGATCTGGTACTATGTAGTATTTTTGCAGCACATTTTCCCTGCTCTCACTACTGTGCCACAGCACACCCTCAAAAAAGTGTCAGCCCCAGAATAAGAGGACCATGCTACAGATCAATATGTTCGTGCTGTATCCAGTTTAACTACTGAACCATGTTTTGAGAAAAAGATGAAGGGTTGGTTTGTTTGTTGGAGGGGTTGTTTTTACTATTATTATATACTGGTAATTACATTTTAGCTAGTATACAGCTGCAAGAGCAAGTACCTTCACTGCCTTCTCTAAATCTTGGAAAATATTAACTAATCCTAACAACTATAAATGAGATGCGACTATTGAGCCAACATGCCTTTAGGACAATTCCTGTTAACCTAGCATATCTTCTGAAGTTCAAACACATACAAGACTAGAAAGTGGGTGTTTAAATAAGTTACCCAGTTTTAGGCTGTGCATGGATCTCAACATAGCAGTTTCAGGTTTCCAGCAACTTCTCTAAAACAAGCTTTCCCATCTCATGGATATTGTCAGTGGTTGAATAGATACTCCGGGCTTCATTCTACTCTGCTTCACCCCAGTATTAACTGCACCAGAATCAATAATTTCTGCAGCTGTGGCAACAGGAAGCAAGCTTGACTGTAAACACAACTCTGGAATTATGACTGATGCCTCCAAAATGCCTACTACAGATGATGTCATGTTTTAAATGGGTCAGGGGGAATTGTTCCATAGATAAAAGGACACTAACTTTCATAGCCTTCTAAAAAATATTTCATAAAGGCAACACTTTGATTGCAATGTCATCAGTATCTAATACTCTTTTCCTACAGCAGATATTTTCACTTGATTTGTTCTCAAACTGGACGTACACACTGTTAGGGATCCTATAACAACAGGCCTGTCTTAAATAACAGGAAACTAATAACCATGTAGGTACCATGCAACATTTTGGTTAAAGTGCATACCAACTGCACTGAGTGCAGCTGTCGTGGTGTCCTATGACCACTGGGGTCCCCCAAGGCTCTGTCCTTGGACCCATACTGTTCAGCATCTTCATTAATGATGTGGACACTGGAGTCAGAAGCGGACTGGCCAAGTTCGCCGATGACACCAAACTTTGGGGCAAAGCATCCACACCAGAAGACAGGCGGGTGATCCAGGCTGACCTGGACAGGCTCAGTAAGTGGGCAGATGAGAATCTGATGGTGTTCAACGCCGATAAATGCAAAGTTCTCCACCTTGGGAAAAAAAACCCGCAGCATCCTTATAGGCTCAGCAGTGCTATGTTGGCTAGCACTATGGAAGAAAGAGACTTGGGGGTCATCATTGACCACAAGATGAACATGAGCCTGCAATGCGATGCGGCGGCTAGTAAAGCGACCAAAACACTGGCTTGCATCCATAGATGCTTCTCAAGCAAATCCCAGGACATCATTCTCCCCCTGTACTTGGCCTTAGTGAGGCCGCAGCTGGAGTACTGTGTCCAGTTTTGGGCTCCACAATTCAAAAAGGATGTGGAGAAGCTTGAGAGAGTCCAGAGAAGAGCCACGCGCATGATCAGAGGTCAGGGAAGCAGACCCTACGATGACAGGCTGAGAGCCCTGGGGCTCTTTAGCCTGAAAAAGCGCAGGCTCAGGGGTGATCTGATGGCCACCTACAAGTTTATCAGGGGTGACCACCAGCATCTGGGGGAACGTTTGTTCACCAGAGCGCCCCAAGGGATGACGAGGTCGAATGGTCACAAACTACTTCAAGATCGTTTCAGGCTGGACATAAGGAAGAACTTCTTTACTGTCCGAGCCCCCAAGGTCTGGAACAGCCTGCCACCGGAGGTGGTTCAAGCGCCTTCATTGAACACCTTCAAGATGAAACTGGATGCTTATCTTGCTGGGATCCTATGACCCCAGCTGACTTCCTGCCCTTTGGGTAGGGGGCTGGACTCGATGATCTTCCGAGGTCCCTTCCAGCCCTGATGTCTATGAAATCTATGAACTGCTAAGTACAAAAGATAAATAAATGGTCATAACTATGGCCTGGTGTATGTACATGAGGGGTGGAGAGGATTGGGGGAAAATCTTGTATTGGTCTAGTTCCAGACAATGAAGGCAAATGTGCTATACCCGTGGTTTACCCCAGTGAGTTACTAAAGGCAAGTTACATCATTGTATTAGGAACTTGTGCTACTATAACCTCACTGTAATTCCAATGATAAAACAGTCTGCCTACTCTATATACAAAAAAGGAAGGAAAATAAACCTCCTTTTGGGTCTAAAGACCTTACTGGTTCTTGCACTATTCCCTGCTTAGTATTTAAACTGGGCTTGAAACCTATAATCTCTCAAAACCTATCATCAATTTTGGAGCATCCACTGTATGTGCAGGCCCCTGTGGCTAGATGGGGTCTGGATCACTCACCTTTAATGACTTCAAGTAATTAACGAAAGGCCTATCTTAGACTAGAGGCAATGGATAATCTTGTAGGCACCATGCAACGTTTTGGTTAAAGTACATATAGTAGTAATTTCCGAACTGTGGGCCATGACCCCAAATGGGGTCACAACATCAGCAGATGGGGTCGTAGGGGTGGGAGGCTGTGGGTTGGGATTGAGGGGCCATGCTGAGGAAATGGGGCCACAAATGGGGTCATGCTGAGGAAAAGTTTGGGAAGCACTGGCAGACAGATTGTTAAGTATGACAGATAAATGGTTGTACTACGGTCCAGTGTATGTGTACAGGAGGTAGAAGGGGTTGAGGGGAACACTTGCACTGGTCTAGTTCCAGACAACGAAGGCAGACATGCTATATCCATGGTTCCCCGATAGACCTGATGCCAGACAAACATGGTTAAATCGCAGACAGACTGCTCTTCGCAGCTGGTAACAACCACCTCCACTTTTGCCCAGCTATTGCAGGGAAAAAACCAGATCCCTCCCTCAGTGAAAGGTAATTTAACAGGAGCAAGAATGGCCCACTCAGCCAAGTCTGGGCCAGAGCAGGAGAGACTTCCAACTCTCCCCTGAGCAGCAGGAGCTGCAGCAGCATCTCTCCTTGCCCTCCTGTTCCACAGCCCACGTGCGGATCACAGCTGGTCCCACTGCCCCACGTGTCTCCTATACCCCACCCCCCCATTTCTTGCGGGTGATGCTCTCAGGGCACATCCGCTTACCCCTCCCTGCCCAGCCTTTACACCCAGGGTGCCCACAGCACCCTCCACCCCGGCCCGGCACAGCTACCCGGCACCACGTGCCCGCCTCCCCCACCACGTGTCTGCCCCCGCCCTCCCCCGCCGGGCTCTGGGTCCTGACGCTGATGTAGCCCCGCAGCTTCTTCACGGCGCGGTGATGCTCTCAGGGCACATCCGCTTACCCCTCCCTGCCCAGCCTTTACACCCAGGGTGCCCACAGCACCCTCCACCCCGGCCCGGCACAGCTACCCGGCACCACGTGCCCGCCTCCCCCACCACGTGTCTGCCCCCGCCCTCCCCCGCCGGGCTCTGGGTCCTGACGCTGATGTAGCCCCGCAGCTTCTTCACGGCGCGGTCCCTGACCCGCTTCTCGTTGGCGGCCAGTCTCTGCGCGAACTGGATCTC